TATTACATGCCCTGGTCATCTCTGATTTTCATGGCAATTAGCTTTTAATAAAAATGTGTTCTTTTAAACATTAGAGCACCGAAACACACTTTATATTCTAATATGGGTAGTAGTTTTACTTCACGATTGTTGCAGTTCAATGACCAGCGCCATTATCGGTCACTATTTTTGAGTTCGTGGGGGTGTAAGGTAAATAGCGAACACGCCGGATATCAATATAAATCGCCTGTACACAACAGTCACTGTTTTACCAAGGAAAGGAAATGTATATAGCTATTAATAATACTCTAATTATAGTATGAACTTTTCACATAAATTTTCGTTGCTATGTATGTATTGCATACGTTGGACGGCATGACATATTGCTGACGTTTGTAAGGCCAGATTATCTCACTCTCAAATGCTGTACACCGGCTACATTATCGTTGCATACTAAGAGGGACAATCACAAAATAATGTGACGTTAGCGATATTTCTAGCACCCCAGCGCTGGAATGTACTTCCGTGTTTGTGTAATTCAATGCTTCCCAGAGGCGACGGCACGAAATTTTGTATGGAGGGGCGAGATATGCTCATCACCATACTAGGCGAATCCAGTGGCATACTCCCTCTTAACAATGTTGAAATCTAGACCCTCTCAAACGCTATTTCCAGCATTTTGAGGAGCAAATTGTGCTGACAAAAAGGGTTTCAGTTTGATTTTCGAGGAGGCGACGCCCCCCCCCCCACATTTTTAACCCCCCCCCCCCCGTGCCGCCGCCATTGACTGTAACTCAAATTTACGCTTGACAATCTACTCGACTTGAAAAATTACGTAGTTCTAAAAGTCCGCTAACTTTAGATAGCAAACGGCTTTGTTTCAGCATTTACTACGAAATTACCCTCGAAGAAATTACTCTTTCATAGTTCCAAACTGCACCCGTTTATTAGATTCGTTGTTCTTAAAATGTCCCCTTACAAAGTACTTTTTTATTGTTCCAATCAATACTATTTTACTACTGGAGGACTGTTTTTTTTTAAACGAGGTTGTTTCAAGTGAAAAGCACAGAGTTGACAGAATACAAACGCTGATTTGTGCTGTATGTCTGATTGCAGGTCGACAACACTTTCGGGTTCATGACTGAGCCACTGCAGACAGCAATATTGTTTGGCATTGTTTGCGTCATTCTGAAAAGACTTTCGTCATGCACTTTGAACTCCAAATAACCAAGGATTGCAATTTGCTTACGACTTCCTCTTTAAATGAATAGACTATTTGTTTGAATTCTAACGAACGAATTTGCCAACAGACCGCCGAGCCGTGTGCACACTCTACTGAAAGAGCTAAGGGGTCTAGAACCTTGCGTCCATGGTTCAAATGTGCCTTTAACTACTGTAAGCGTTGTCGTAGCGTCCTTTACGGTTTCACTGGATTCATTGTCAACAATAAAATCACTGTATATGCAGTCCAGTGAGACTTTAAGAACTTATTACCATGACATTAGTCAGTGTGCTATTTAGCACACCTGGCCCCCAGTCATCAGTCGAAAAGTAGCAGTTATATGGTGTGACGTCCTACCCGTCGCGTCCAGAATCAACCTGTAATGTTCCCATGTATGCTTACACAAGCCAGTTACTTCGCGAAGAGTAATTACACGTGCTCGCTTCAAGGACAACAGAACTTGCAAACCACTCTTCATGACCATGCTACACTCAAATTTACATATTAATATATTGTTCACCAGATAGCGTAGTTGACCCTTCACACTGTACATAACCATTCATATGCAAATGCAGGCTTACACATGTTCTTTTATATTTGCGTATCTGTATTACTGACATTATTCAGTTCATTATTCATGCATATACAACTAGAGTGCATACTTTGAGGTATCTTCGTAAAACTTTATTATTATACATCTTTTTCTTTCAAGGATACATCATAGGAATGCCGAAATCCAAAATGTTTAGAACAGAATCAGCAAACTTCTTTATGTGAAGTCCGGTCAAACCCTGGTGGCAAGCCATGTTTGTTTTTATTATTAGATATCGTGCTTACGCGCGTAATCATACCATATATGTAATTCGCATTTCCTATTATGCAAGGATGAAATTACCCCGAAAAATACCGCACAATTACGGTACGCTGTAACTTATGGCGTTACGATGGAAGATATACTATATCACACAGCTTACACGAATTTTAAACAATATTAGGTTCAAGTAATCTTTCATGGAGTAATATCGTTATGTCTTACCATACAATAAGTTTGTACTAATTTAAACGAATTTTACTGAAAAAATGAATTCAAGTTATCGATATGAATCAACAATTTATTCTGCCCAATATTCAAATAACCTTGTATATATTTGCTTGTTGTTTGTTGGAGCTGCTTCTACTTCTTCCACTTTACATTTTCATTGTCACTTCTCATATCCTCAGGTCATTCATTAATATTCTGTGATGCTATTTCTCCTTTCATTTGACGGTTTGAATTGCATATTGTCCGCATATCGAAACAGTGGAATGTCACTATCTGAAACGGGTTTCAGCATTTTATTGCCATATCATTCACGTGGGCAAACGACACCCAGTTTTAGATAATCGCTTTTTGCCCAGTTTAAAATCTCAACATTCCCTCAAATAATGTTTATATTTAGATGGCGTATCATCCTAGCAGCGTCTCACATAACAAACGATACAAAGACAGTGTTTATGGCACAATCTACGGAGCATGCATTGGCAATGCTATAGGAACATTGACTGAGGACATGAAAAAGCGCCAAGTGAATCATGTAAGTATTTCAAAATCAGTCAGACACTCAAAAAACAAATAAATTATACAGTCATCAGTGTTCTCCTTATTGTTTCTTGACTCATTTGAATGTAATTTGCATACTAATTAACATAATGTACAGTTATATATTTTAAATAAATGAGATTTACTGTATACAGTGAAACACATTAGTGGATTAAAATGGGAATATTGCAAAACATATATTAGCCAATATTGTTAATTGTTTACAACTATCTACAATTCGCATCTGTAGTTTTGAAGAAACAAACCTCATTATAATCACCACTGCTAATGAATTCTATACAGTACATGTTGTTGAATGCACTAGAACTAGGTCATACTCTGGGCTGTTTTGTCGGCCCAATTATCTTCCAGAAATATCCATCCAAATATTTACAATCATATATTAGAGAAGCGCTACGTACATTTCGTGGAGGAATGACAGGATCAGGCTGCAGAATACATGATAGCGACTTGATGTTTTTAGTTGTACAATCTATTACTGAATGCAATGGACAGGTATGCATATACTTTACATAATAAGGTGGCTCTGTTCAAGATATTACATGTGACATGTCACATATGTATTCAATGCTTATCGTTATTTCAATTATTGCCTTAAAAGCCATTATGCAAACATCGAGGCAGTGTATTTTTGTCAAAGAGGTTGGCATCAGTAGGGACGCCTGCGGGAAAATACAAATGTCACAAAACTCGAAGCGCATGCCATTCAGTCTACATTTCTTAACAGATTGATGCAAAGGATCTTATCGACAGATTACGTCTTCTCGACAGACATGGTATAGGACGCACTACACATAAAGTGATTAACCATCGCTTGGCCAGCATAGACCCACATCTTGTGAGTAGTGTATACCAAAAATAATGTTTATACATGGTTAGAAACGTCATAATGCGCATGAATAAGCAAATATGCCATGATGAATGTTATACTAGATATTTAACGACAATTATATCATGATATTATTTGAAAGGCTGCAATCGAAGTTTGGAAAGACAGTGGTAAAGCATCAGCACCAAATGGAGCAGTTGTACGCACATCTGTGGTTGGTATCCACCAGTGTAACGACATTCAGGAAGTAATTAAGAACACCATCAATATTTGCAAAATGACACATGCTGACCCACGGTAAGCTAAGTGTAAGGATCAAATCTTGATATTAATTTTTATGTATACTGCACGTACTGAGCCTTGATGCTTGAAAGTTCCGTAAACACATTAATTATAGCAAACTAGATCTCGAATGTTGAATAAACAACAAATGAAATAAATTGCCTCTTAAGGTAGCAGGAGTGTTATTTATACTGATATTAGTTGCTGGAATGTACCATAAACTTATAAACAAGACATCATTAAGCAAAATATGTTGTTGTTTTTTGTCCTCTTGCAGATGTGTTGCTTCTTGTATTGCCGTGACAACAGGTATTGCACTGATGCTACAAGGCAACGAGTACTTCGAAATCAATGAAACATGCTTTGATCATGCCAGAAAATACCTTGCATCACAAAAACAGGTATTTATTGCATTTTAAATCAAAACAAAGTGTTCATTCAGTTTATTAAGGACACGTTATCGTTCGAGGTGTAGTACATTTATACTTACTAACCAATGTGCATTGAGTCGTTTGCTGGCCATAAATGCACCGGATATTATGTAGCCGTTTTTCGACGGTCAAGGTGGTTTGGATTAATCAATTTCCTCACAATTGCTCAACAATAAATGTCAGCTCACAAACGATCACAAATTGCGATTAGCATAAGTAATGTACATTATCATGTCATCTTGTAAACATGTATGTCGAAGACAATAGGGAACTGCATATATTATTGCCTGCCGGTACATATAATGTATAAACTATTTATATTGCAGGACAGGGAAATGTATAGCTACATGAATGTCGCAAATTGTAGAGATCTACACTTAGACGACGAAGGTTCTAGTTATACTTTCAAGTGTGTTGGAGCAGGTTTTTGGGCTTTGAGACAGAACGATTTCAGAGAAACGTTGATTACGATTGTTAAGGAGGTACAGATTCATCTGTTAAATATTTGTCGATTTTATTTTTTGACTATCAAATTGCCGATACAATAATATATTAAAATATGCATATACCCACCAGTGTCAACTGCAGTATACACTTATACGGGTGACTAATTGCCCACTAAAGCACACTGTTCTGCACGCCACTCTATTACATAATATAATGGTAAGACACTTGAAATGAAATGTTGCAAACAATCAAAACTTTTGATCAAAACCTACGACAGATGTCTCATTGTGTCTGTTTGGTTCAAAACACGAATTTAATTCAGTGAAAACTGCAAAAAATTGCAAATTTACTCAAATTGAAAAGGTTAGTTTAACGTTGTTTGCAATGGAACATTGGTTACTTAATCATCTAACCTTAATCATCTAATTTCTTTCCTGTATTTACATGAAATGTTTAAATATTGCCCCTTTAGTGGTCTATAGTGATTTTCATACCCCCGCCTTCTATCTGCATTCACATTGCGTTCTCCTTAGAGCGTTCTTGGTCAGCACCGACGTGGCACGCATAGAACGTTCACAACGTAGAACGCGCCGCAGCAATCCCGGATGCGACGTTTCAGAGGCGACTTTGTCGTATATATTTGCTTCATTCAAAGAATGTCCTCAACATCAAAACGGCGTTGTTCCACTGTCTAGTTTAGAATGCTAAACTTTTTTTAAAACCTTGAAAGCAACAGCAGCCGGGACAGTGTTGTTAAGTTCAATTATTGATGCTTAGAATGAATATGAAGAAGTTTCAGTGACTTCCATGTGATTAACCATGTAATGTCCGCTTGGTGGGCTGAATAAGTTTCAACCAATCACAGCAGGCCTAACAACAATGAGATGTGGTAAATCACGATGTATATCATACATGTATATATACATGATTGCAGTTTTACCGTGATGCAGAACTGGAATACCAATTGAAGGAAAGGGTAGACAAGCATAAAGACCACCAGCGCAGATGGAAGGTAGGCGATTGGACCGACGATAGCGATCAGATGATTTTGATATTACAATCACTGGTAGATAATAGTGGACAGGCAAGTTTTTTATAGATATTTTACACAGTCTGATATTGACCGACTGATACGAAGATTACCATATGACGAATATTGACGAGATAGTTTGCGAGAACTAATAATGTATAACAAATTCAAATGACGTCTTGTCCACCACCGGAATCAACGAACGCCAACGGGAATATCACAAGGCTGTTTGGAATATTTGAGATTTTATGACGTCATAGTTGGACATTATTACACAAGTAAATTCATGTCAATAGAAAGACCTGATAACATTATTTGATGGCTTGTGGGACAGAATGAAACCCCTGACAACTTTCCTTGTATTTTTTGATATATATATATATATATATATATATATATATATATATATATATATATATATATATATATATACACATATTCTTCCTATTTTGACCACGGTTTGTTCTTGCACATGGTATGCAAACTATTTTCTTTGTAGTTGGGTATTAATAATATCATTTCTTTATAGGTTAATCCGACAGACTTTGCGTACAAACTCTTAAATTGGACGACAAATGGATTTCGCGATCTTGGTGACACAGGAGGCCTTGGCATAGGTACCACAACATACAAAGTACTTAGTCATTCAGTGTTTCGCAATAACCCAAAACAGGTAAACCACTTCAATTGAACAATTTTACTTATCTTTTTTATATGTTGTGAACGAATCTTCCAGATTATAGTCAGAATAGACTCCATTCTGGTATAAGTTTGTATAACCATACAACACAAACATCACTTATTTTCGTAGGCAGCTCATGAGGTGTGGAGTTCTAGTGGTGGATACTTGGCACCAAATGGAGCAGTGATGAGAACATCAATACTTGGCATTCATCAGTTTGAAGATATTGAAATGGTCAAAGAGAACACGGTGAAAATATGTGAAACAACCCATGCTGATCCAAGGTAAGGCGATAATAGTTTCACCAGATTTAAATTCGGTAAAAAATAGTGGTTGTATATCTTATTATTTCGTATTAATTACAGATGCATTGCATCCTGTGTTGCTGTGACGACGGCTATTGCTTTGATGTTACAAGGAAAACATTTACGGCACTGCGGAGAATACGATGTGGAAATGATTGTGAAAGACAGTTTTAGACATGCAAAGGATTACTTGAAAAATTGCTCGTATGTAAGTATGTATAGCAAAACAATACATGTATGCCCGTTTGCACTTTATACATTGTGCATCCTGTCTGTATTTATTTACCTAAATAGAGATAAAACTGAATATAAATTTCAGATTGATGAGTTACAACGTTACATGAACACATGTGATATTAGAAGCTTGAGGCTAGATGAGCCTGGAAAAATCGGTTACACGTACAAATGCTTAGGGGCTGGTTTCTGGGCCTTGCGACAGACAGATTTCAGACGTGCTTTGACTAGTATTGTAAAAGAGGTAAGTGACATTCTGTACTTCATCCTTTTAACTCGGTCAATATGCATTTTGTTCGATATCATAATAAGCAAGACTTAGATTTTAAAATGGAATTGTATAAAAGATTAGCTAGTTTTGATATGGCAGAGCGGGTTAATATCCAGCTTGATCAACAATATTTCCAGTATCAGGGTATAGCCGAAAAACCTTCATTTTGGGGACGTTCAACACTGGGATGATGCTGTTTACTATTTTATTTTAAAAACCAGAAAAATCATTTTTTACTCATTGGTCTTTTACTCATGTGTAAAATTGTCCTGATTTTCAGGTAGATATTGTCGTCTACGGGGAGTTAAAGTGTGAATTCTACAGTTGAAAATGTTTGAAAACATGCTATTGATGTATTTGAACTATCATTTGTATATCTGTGCTCATTGTAAGAAACGGAATCTCGTCTCCTCTGTCAAGTCATGCGCGTTGTAAAAGGCGTTAAAACGAATTCAAACACAAAAAGTCACAATCATTGACAATTGGATTGGCGGTATAATCACAGTTATTTGATATTTACTGTATATTTTCCACAATTGCGCAGATTCCGACCATAAACTATGGTACATAGTATAACTGTTTACATACATTGTAGTCTTGTTCTTTCTACAGGCAGGTGACGCAGACACCAATGGAGCAGTAGCCGGGGCATTATTAGGTTGCAAGCTTGGTTACAACAGATTACCAAGATCATGGAAGGAGAACTTGAGATACAAACAGTGGTTACAGTTAAAGATTATTAGGTTCGAATAAAGAATTATGTAACCAACGTTCATGTATTTCTTAAATTATTTAAGTTTTGTTCTATCATTGACAACCAATTACGATTCAATTTGTCACATTGAGCTCATCGTATTAACAATAGACCGCTTTGATTTTAACTCTGCAAATTATTGTGTTTGTCTTGGTTTTGTGCAAGATAGAAATACCTTATATAGAACTCGATTGATCTATTACTGCAAATCATATAGCGGTTTATTCATCATATCTACAGTTATTTTCCCTAACATAAATAATTAATGCAGAAAAATAGTACTCACTGAATACATATTATGAATATGACTGTAACACACGTTTTTCTTCAGTTTTCTAGATATGGAAAGAATTTCCGAAAACTCATCGCATGCGCCATCAACGTGTGATTGGAAGTCAGATTTAACACCGCCGGTGGGAGGAGTATCTGCCTTTACTCGCACACGTGATACGATATTGTCATCTACAACTGATAATCGACACCCACGATCGCAATCACAATCAGAGTTATCATCGTGGCATCGTTTTTACCAAAACTGACTATTGTCAAATTAAGCAATACACTATGTCGATGGCGATGTGGGAAGCTCTTTTACGCGTATTTAATTAGATAAATGGGTGGCTTGTTTTGCGTATCACACAGATTTAAATGTTCATTTGTTGTTACTCTTATGTCACATTAATTGCAAAGCAGTTCTTCTGTTATTAACTGTGTAGACAATGGGAAGCGATAGAAACAAATTCCTGTTTGATGTATATTTAGTCTACTAAATAATGCAATGAATCATGAGTAGCATTGCAGCATCATAGGTGACGTCACCTGATCATTGGAAGCAGAGTTAAAGCTGTATTCATATATTGGTAGAGGTAACCACTGTATTGATTGGTCGTTTTCTTTTTGGATGATATTTAGCAACCGAAATAATATATAGGCATTGCGTGTTTTAAGTACTGAAGGAGGTCGAAATACATGTAGTAAAAAGATTTAAACAATTACCACTATCGAAACTTACACATGTTAATTAAGTATCAGGCAACTGCAATTAATGACATGCACACATGCACTGTACCCTCGATTACCTGCGCATGCGTATAGATATATATATCATACATTTGAATTGCAGTCTTGTTTATTCAATTTACTACTAGTTTATGGTTTATGCATTTATTTATATACTGTTTTTTTTTATGAATTTAAGCTCAATATTTGTACAAATTATAGCAAATGTTCAGCCTTATTAATAACTAATAATATTGTAATATAGAAATCATGATTTTATATCTTGGCTTTATTTATAAATATTTCGAGTATTATTAATATAACATATCTGCATGTACACTTTATAATTAATAAAACATTTACTTTTATTACTCAAATGTTATTCAATTATGATTTGAGATATATTTTACATATAAAGAATATACAATGCATTACTTCAATTCTATGGGAATTATATACTAGCACTTGTGTGTCGTATATAATCAGAATAATATGTTTACATTTACATGTCATGCAGCAAATTGTTTTTATTTATAAATAATTACTATTTGTTGTTTGTAAATACTAATATATATTCTTGTGTTTCATTTCAACGCAATACAATTAGAATACTTGCATCGAGTGTAAATAACGAAGGGTGAGCATCGAACTGTGTAAATAATTGTGACCGGCGATTATAACCTTATAGATTTGTAAACCATGAACTTTGGTGATCCTTGTGAAATTTTAGATAGAAGGGAGGAAAAGTTATGGTCCAAATTATAAATGTAATGTAAAATTCGTGAAAAAGTACTGAAAGTATTACAATCCTAAGAAAAATGAGAAATCTGAATCAGAAATTTATCTAACCGGAACAATGACACCGACTAAAGGAGGGATGGATGAAGTGTATTTATTTTATTGAGGTCATGTCCCTTGATGACCTTTGACCTCATGAGAGATACAATTTGTAGAGTTTAACCATTCTCGCCGCCAGGGTTTATTTCCGCTTCGAGACAAAATATGGATGCTTGTACGACGATGATCTGTAAGCGACCTTTCCACACTCAATGAAGTGTGACCTACTATAATATCAAGAGACCACTACCAAGAAAGCTAAAAATAGTACATTCACAAGAATACATGACGAAAGAATGAAGAATTCTGGGAATTATCAAAGAGTACGCTGAGGTCAAGCAAAGTCGTCTTACTTTGGTACAGCACTGTCAGGTGTGGCGAGTCAGAGGTAATTTGTTCCTATTCTACCTCGACAACGTCGGATGATTGGTGAGTATGGTCACATACACAACGAACGCAATCGATCAACATATGAAAATTTCTGCTTACAACTCTACCAAGGGGGATTTGCATTATAACACGATCTAAATCCAACTTTAAGCCTATAAACGTTCCATTGTTTTTAGTGCCAAACCCCTTTGTTAAGGTGGAAGCCAAGTAATATTTTTTGACAAAATTGATCATAAATCGCACGATATTGTTCATTAGTTTATTATGTACAATCATGAAGCTAATGTCTCATGGTATAATGAAACAGCATTATTTTGTGTGTTGCAGTTATGCTTTTTGATAACCGTGTTGCTATTTTTAGAACAATTCCACAGAACATAATATTAAAGAAAAATTGCATTTTTTGACACTTTTTAAAAACCCTCATTTTTTAAATAATTCAGAACAACAAAAAGTAGTCCATCATTAACTATATATGATTTATTCACCAGGCTAGATTATGAGATATTGCATAATATCTCTGCCAAAGGAAGCTGTGGTAAAAGTGTTATAATAATGTCAAAATGGCGACTTTCTACTGGTGACCCCCAACTTTTTTTAGGTCAACATCTTAATTTTGCCTTAGAGTACAATTTATTGCAAAATGAATGAATTCTGAGTTTTAAAATTTATGAATACGCTTCTACCTTAAGGACTACAACAAATATTTCATTGGTGTTTGTGAGCTCGTGTGTAATTGGTCAATGTATGGACAGCTCTTCCAATTCTGTTTATACTCCCAGTCAATCTGGGCTCTGTTACGTCCAAACGCCACTCTCTTGATGGAAATATGTGTTGAGAAGTAATCCATTGTTGTTGCGGTGTACGCAAATCCGTTTTCAAAAATCTAAATACCGGTAATTACAACCTCATCGGAATTCATTTTCTATTCTTACCCAGAAGCAACACCCAGACCATTCATCAAAACGAGTAGTCTGGGGTATACTAGTGCTTTAACCCATGCCGAGGACTTCCTGTTTGTAATGCTATATGATAAAATAAATCAGACTAACTGTCACGTGAAACCAAATGAAAATCAACCTAAAATAACGTACTAGTACCCAATTGATTCTGGATTCATTGACCAGGGAGAAAGAAATGACATTTGCAATAATAATCGTCGAGCAGGTCAGGGCTGTAACGTTCGGTTGAAGAAATATACAATACAACAGTACTGATTGGACCTACATGAATACTTTGGCTTTTCCCGATTTTCAATATGTCGTACATTATCTTCAGTAATAAATCCGAAAGTGAAGTATGATATCTTCAACAGAACGTAGCCTCACAAAACGATCATCGCTTAAGCAGCATACAATTTTTTGTTGGCTCATTTAAAAAAATACGAACGGTGTCAATATTCAGAACTGCATTTTTTCTGTCTGTGGCGTGCTTCAGAATGATATATCTTGGCCGATCATATTTTGACAAATAACCTGAATGTACAGCACTAATTTTATCCAACCTCCTGCTCACTTCTGCTTTTCAATATTTTTTCTTCGCTCGGTTTTGCAACTGCTTATTGAATAGGTTCCACTTTATTTTTCGACCGCGCGAACCCAGAAATATCGCCCGTCTGCTCGCTTGCATTTTAAATACATGGCCGTGGCATTTTTTTTTTTGGGGGGGGGGGGGGTCCTCTGCTCTCTTAGCATTACCTGTAGCACGTAAATGTCTCGATATTTATATTGTTGAAACGAGGTAGCAGGCCTAGATTCAAATCAAACACAGTCCCGCTCAATCAACTTGTGTGGAACATTCACGTAACAAGAGGTCATAGTTCAAGTTGCGTTCGCAAACGATACAAAGTATGATGGATTGGAAGTGTCATTCGGAATTAAATAATGGTTAATACTCGTTTAATCCCCGAACATTAGCATAAAAAAAACCATTTCGACAACTCATGTGCCAGTAATCAGTTTTGGACAATGGGTCAATGTTTTTAATAAGCGAATGAGAAAAGAAAGGGATAAAAATATGGTCGTTTTCCGGTCGGAAATTAATTTCGTTGATTAAAATGCGATAAAATCGGCAGATTAGGCGAAATGAATACTGCTGCCCGTTTCTAGATTGACATGAGTCATCAAGTGAGGACATGGTAGGAGTAGGTAGTACTAGTATACGCCAGGAAGGAGTCCAGCGAGGGAACAGCCAGTATCTCTTTTACGGGGAAAACGTGAAATCTCGACAGATGTTTTTGTTCTTACATGTAATATTATGTTTCGAGGGCTTCCTAGTTCAAAAAAGATGATAAATCATCAAAAACGCATGAGTTTAGAGACATACCTATGTAGAAGTTGGTTTGCCAGTACTTAATGCATTTTTAACACAGATGCTACTCTATTGACCTTGGCTGTTTATTTCATGAATCTGGCACTTGAGGTGGCTGTGAGCCGTGTCGAAAACGTTTACAGAATAATGACCATTAAAAAAACAGTTGTAAGCAGATATTTTCATATGAACATTATGATAATAACCACTGTTTTCATCACATGATTGAACTACCCCGCTGTTACGCAATAAAGAATATACAACCAATCGTGTGAGAACTCACATACACGTTATAACTCAGCTTTGAACCGTTAAACCCTGTTTTTTTAAGGGATCAATACAGCGAAATAATAAAACAAAATGAATGCAGAATGTCATTATCATAAAAAGTGTGAGCGTTTTTTGCAAACGTTGAATCTTCCACGTAAGTTGAAAAACATAGAAATTATACACAAACTTCGATTATCGAGCCATGTATTAATCAGAACAGATCGAAAAAAATTATATACTTGGTTGAGCTCATTTATATATTTACCAGTATGCAAACATATTTCGAGAATCAGAAAAACCAAAAAAGAACGAGCATTTTATCGCCAGTAAACTGTATTTGCTTTGTTAAATTTTAGCTTTCAGAGGAAGCGATAAATATGACACCTGTTTCTGTTAAAGTTGTCATCACAAGCGGGGAGATGGAGGAGCGTACCTTAGAGGTACTCCGCCGATGCCTTATCCGCTACCCATAAACTGGGCCAGATTTTCAATAAGGTCAGTGCTCGTTTAGATTGTGACCACACTAATGAATGGGAAGGCCACACAATATGACTCATACCATGATATAGCTTGATTAGAAAACATCATATCACTACTGTGACTGTGCACAAATTATGTATTCGGAAATACTCAAAACGACCTATTAAAGGCGCCTCTTTGGACATTATAGCTTATGTGACGTCAACACTCAATCGGCAAAATCTTTGACGCAATAATTTGTGTTTTATTTTCTATCCAGATATTTATTTAAAATATGAAAAAAATCAAATAGTTTATTCCTGACGGGTAGTCACAGTAATAATATGGTGC